GTGTGTGTACGTGTCGAGGACGTCGCCGAGAGGGTGTCACGGTGCACGCAGAGTGGACAGAGTGGACAGAGGTCACCACGACACGACACCACGCCGGGCAGCCCCGGGTAAACCGACATTAACCGGACCGCAACTTGGCGGGACTCAACACAGACGGGCCCAATGCGGTCTCTGGACGGGCCGAGGGGATGCTGGGTCAAAGGTGACATAGTCCGCGGGCTCGTCACGTCATCTTAGCACAAGGAAGACAGTTTGGGCACGATGTTTCACAACTCTAACTCCTCACCCCCTTCCCCTCCCCCTTCTCGCATTTTGTGATGGCTATTTCGGGTTTGCTTTGGGGCTCATATGCCTACTCAAGGTACTAAATTCAAGAATTTAACAAGACTAGTGATGGAAATTGATAGGCGGGCTGCTGCTAACTGTCACTAAACCAGCTGGTACAATGAGTGAATGCAAGTAAACGTCAGCTTAAGTGTCGTCAGGGTGCAATCAAAAGTTCACCTCGTAGAGGCGAGACATGTAAATAAAACGCCGATTGTCTCATTCCCTCTTTCTTCTTCCTATCTGCACGTACAGGTCTTTCCACTCAACAATCAGGGTTAGCAGACAACCCCGAAACGCAGGCGGGACAGACACTAGGAGCGAGCACTCTTCACAGCGTCTTTGGAAATTGGACACCAAATTCTTGAAATACCTCGGATGGCATATAAAAATCAAAGGGTCAAAGTCGCTGAGAAAACAAGGGGAAGGGGTGGAGGCTGTTGGAGAAGGCGGAAAAGTCGAGAGAGGGAAAAGACTGCTTTACTTTATCTGATTGAACCAGAGCCAGCAGCCGAACAGTTTGAGCGGTCAGATAACGTTGGAAGTGTTTCACAAGACACGCAAGGCAAAATCGCCGATAAATCGAGTGGCAAGGGACCGAACGCCGGGCCAGCGGACACCTAATGGCCGCGATTGCATCACGATCTGCCCATGGGCGTCAATCGTTAATCTGTCATGAGTGTCGTCTATCCTGTAATGCCATACCGACATTTTGTAAGAGAAGCACTAATTCAGACGGTCGCCCTGTTCCTCTCGAGCGCGACGGTACAATTATTTTCAGAGAAGGTCCGGTCTAATATTATGCCGTGTACTCAAGACAATCTCAGCTACGCACATTTACATAGAAAGGCTGTCGATGTGCGACCTCGGAAACATTACACCCTGTGGCGTTTTATCTAGAGAGGAATAACAATCCATAAGGGCGCACCCCCACCAGAGCTGTCGACGGCCCCTGCGTTATAGTATTTATTTACCTGGTGTTGGTTATTTAGTTGGTTTTTTTTAGGGGCGGGGGGTAACTAACGACCAACATTACAAAAACTAAAGCTAACAACGAAAAAAGCAGCAGGTTGAAAGGCGTTACTGGTAGGTTCTACTTCTTTCCGTTCCTTCTGTGGTAGGTCTGTTACTTGCTGCTTCTGTCTGTCTCCCAGAACTAAATACCTGGTATTGCAACGAAATACATTGTGCAACTAATTTGTAAATCGGTATCGCGAATCCCTAAATGCTTTTCAAAATTTTCATCAATTTGTTTCTTCTAATAAAATTTTACTCCTAGGTAGTATCGTAGGAGCATTAAAAACAACAACACCAATAAAAACGAACAAAGAAAAATTCCCCAGTACATTCTACTTTTTACTTCTTTCTCCCAGACTCGGTGCAATAACGCCCATAGCCAAGTAGTCCTTCCTGCGTTGTTCGTGATCGCGACACCATTTACCACCCCCCCCTAAACATCTCCGAGTCTTTGAGGCCACGTCGAAAGGCTCAAATTGACGTCTCCGACACAATTATCACGTCGGCACAGGTCCATCTGATAGATCTCTGCACGTCGTCAGTCTTTGTTCCCTGTCTAGAGTCCGGGTCGAGGAACGGTTAACGATTCCGGACACTGGACTGGTCAGACAGGAAGGAGAAGATTTCAATAAGTCTAAAGGCTGGCTGGTCCCACGCCCAAAACCCTGCCCCCAACTGACAGCACTATCGACAGTTTCCTGTGCGGTTTTGAACCCCCTCCCCACCCCACCCCCAAAAAACCCCCCCAACAAAAACCCATGGTTAACCCGAGGTCACTCAGTAAAGAAGTTAGACTCTAAAGTCATAACCAATTTATGAGTTTGAAGTCTGGCGCTGCACAAGGTTGCAAAAGGCTGCTCTCGTCTCCTAACAGTTATACGGTACTGTATGTGTTAGCCTCACCGTCATTTCCAAATAATGCAATGTCAAGTAATTTTAACTGACTAAAATAAGGATACACTAGCTTGGTTTTTACTCAAATTCCCTGTTTTAATTTCCGTAAACCGAATTCTAACCTTCATGTATCTTCTGCAGAGTACCTGTAGTTTCTTTTTCTTTTTCTTTGCAGACCCCAATGATCATTAACTAAAAGCCGCATTTTGTAAGCTAGCGAGCAGCTGATGTAGCCCTGGGCATCCTCAGATATACGGATGAACATTATATACAGCTATACACCGCTTATCAGTGGTCTCCATCGGCCGTGTCGCTCTCTCCCCCTGGTGGCTAGCTCGGACCGTCCCCTATCTGATGGTCAGTGTTAGGTCAAGCTGACCGTTGGTCATCTCGTCTCACGGGTTGACATCAGACACACACTGGGGTAACCACAGGGGTGTGAAGCTCCCACACCTTCTGACGATGTCGGCCGCGAGGGAGAGGGGGATGGGAGGGGGGCGGACAAGGGGGTCGTAATGGGGAGAGACTGAACAGAGTGGTGAAGGAGAGGGACGCAGCAATTGGTCAAGAAGAGAGGCCCAGACACACAGACAGGGGCCACTAGGTGCACTTGGATGTCTGTCACAGTCAACGTTTGGCGGAACGCAACAGGATATCGCCGTGTCCAAAAGAGTCCTGAAAACTAGTGTTATACTTTGCGTACCATCTTCTTTGCAACCCCTAAAATACAGTACGACATGTTCTTC